ACGGGGAGAGGAGATGGGGAGAGTGTGGAGGATTGAGACGAGGTCAGTGGGCAATGAAAGGTGGGTCATATGCAGGAGTAGACTCAAGAGCGCAGAGAACCACGATATGAACACTCACAAGGGTAGTGAATCAGCATAAATACACTAGAAAGGGCAGGGGATACACACACTTCTCGAATGTGCTCTTCAAAGCTGCGGATGGGGTTGCTGGCGGGAGGGAGAGCTAAGTCCCATATCTGCAGAGAGTGAAAGGAAAGACGCACGCGGAAGGCAATGTTATGTTAGAGACGAACAATGAGGAGGGGAAAAGCGGGAATCATGTGGCCGGATCTGGTTTTTGAGAATTCTCAAAAACCAGGAAAGAAGCACGCGGAAGGCAATGTTAGAGACGAACAATGAGGAGGGGAAAAGTGAGAATCATGTAGCCGGATCGCAAAACTTGCAGGAAAAGTTAGGTCTACAGAAAGGTGAGAAAGATGAGAGGAGGAAACCACAGGAGGTACAGACGGAGATGAGAGGAAGGAGAGGGGGGGTGGGGGGGGAAGCAGGGAGCATTTCGGCACTGATAATGGTCTAGGCACTCTAAGCACTGTTACAGCGGTAGTACATGCTACATTGATGTTTTCCTAGTACCCTACCTGTTCAAAAGTAGTCAACAGAGGGAGTTCAAACAGCAGCAAGGAAGCAAAGCAGCAAGGGGTGTGTGTGACGTGACGGTGTGCAGTCCGTGCACAAGCCACTCACCTTGACACTGCCATCAAGATGACTTTTGAGTCGACTCAAAAGTGATGACTTTTGAGTCGACTCAAAAGTTCAAACAGCAGCAAGGAAGCAAAGCAGCAAGGGGTGTGTGTGACGTGACGGTGTGCAGTGCGTGCACAAGCCACTCACCTTGACACTGCCATCACCACTGGCGGACACAAGAAGATTCTCATTCGCCTGGAACCGAGAAAAAAGGGCCGGAGGGGAAGGGGCAGAAGGGGAGGGGAGGAGGGGAGGGGCGGGGGGCAAGGGGCGGAAGGTGAGGGGCGGATGTGGAGGGGCGGATGTGGAGGGGCGGATGGGGAGGGGTGTACGAGAAATGGGGGGGGCAATTGGGCTGGATCAGATGGATGAGGGTCCAACTCAGGGCGTAGGCAAACACAGAAAGGAGACTACGACAGAGATCTCATCTCACCTTTCCACTTCATTTCACACTGCCAACTTATGATGCCTACACTGCACCTGGCCTGACCTCACTCCAACCCACTGCAGCAGCTGCAAAGAAAAGGACTCCACAGACCGCACTGTACCGCACTGCGCATCACCTCACTCCAGCAGCAGTCGTACAGCTCATCTGCTGTGTCATATCCAATCACCTCCACCAACCCACCGCAGCAGCCTGGAAAGCAACAACCAAACTCTACCGCATTGTACTGCAATATACCGCACTGTACCGCACTGCACCTCACCTCACTCCAGCAGCAGTCGTACAGCCCGTCTGCCGTGTCATACGCCATCACCTCCACCAACCCGCCTCCTGGGGAGAGCTGAGGCATTGATAGTGAATGATGAAAAACAGAAAGAGAGGGAACGGAGAGGGGTGGGGAGAGAGTTGGGAAGGGGGGGGGAAGAGAGGGGCGGAGTTGGAGGCTGATACCACGTCTTCCAAAGGGGTTAGACACAGTGAAACATTTAGGGCATTTTACGAAGTAATGTGGTGCCAACGACACCAAGGTTGAGTGCGGTGCAGTGCGGTACCTCGAGTACGTGCAAACGGCCATTGCCAATGATGCCGAAGTTCTGTGCCGTGGCAACAGCCAGTCGATTCTCCACAAACGGACTGAAGCGAGCCTGCAGGCAGACAAGGAATGCGAGAAGGAGGAGAGAAGGGAGACGAAGCAAGGAGTTGGGAAGGAGGAGTGAGGGGAGACGTGGCAACAGCCAGCCGATTCTCCACAAACGGACTGAAGCGAGCCTGCAGGCAGACAGGGGATGAGGGAAGGAGGAGTGGGGAAGGGAGACGTTGTGAGGAGTTGGGAGGGAGGAGTGAGGGGAACCGTCGCGACAGCCAGCCGATTCTCCACCAACGGACTGAAGCGAGCCTGGGGAACACGAAGGGTAAGGGAAGGAGGAGAGGAGCAGGAGCAAAGTTGAGTGCGGTGCAGTGTGGTACAGCGGCGTTCCTCGAGTACGTGCAAATGGCCATTGCCATTAATGCCAAAGTTCTGAGCAGTCGCGACAACCAGTCGATTCTCCACAAACGGACTGAAGCGAGCCTGGGGCACACAGGACAAGACACGGATGTGGAAGGGGGAGCTAAGGCGCCGCGTCTGTGGACCGAAATACGAGTTTTGAAGTACCGAGTTCTGAGCTAAGGCAGTCTGTAGCTCTCTGTAGCGATTATACTTCAGCTTCCAGAGCAGGCATGTGAGGGAGGAGCTAAGAGAGTCCGGAGGAAAGAGGGCGAATAAAAGAGGAATTGCAAGGAGCCCGAGGCTGTGCTGTAGCTGCATTCCCTAGGCAAACCATGGATACCCTAGAAGCCGCTCTTTGATTAACTCGTCTGCTTAGCAACCACGCGTTGCAGGCGAGAAACTTTCTGCTAACCCAGGCGTGAACTGCGTACCGAGTATCCATTAAAGGCGGTCTTGAAACGAGGCATGGCTGAGAATCGCTGCTCCTCCCTCGAGCCCAGGACAACGCTCTGCAACGGTCGATCCCCCAAACGGTCAGCCCTTCAAACGTTCGACCAAAATCACTTAACCCGATTGCTATCTTAAACCCGGTTCGCAAGCTAGAAACTCCCAAGTGAAAACTGCTGACAGCTACTAGCTCGAGGTGTTGTTAAGTTCGGCGAAGGAATCTAGGAAGCCGAATAGACGAACATGCTCTTGTGGCGTTCGGAAGAACAAAAACGAGCTGCTATGGCGAAGAACAAGAAATGCAGGAGGCTGATCATTAGAACTGCCTGACGGAGACTCGCTGTTTGGTGAAGAAATTAGGGCGGAAGGAAAAATAGAAGTTTTGCTGGTGGTTGACACGTCAGCGTGAGGTGGCAATGGGAGAAGACAGCAAGAAAGGAAAAAAGCGTAGACAATCTTGAGGCTGACTTCACAGGTGAGCTTGGCGAACTGCTTAGGCTGTCACGAAAAATATGCAGCGAGAGTGGTCTCTATAACTAGGATTCGCTTTTTGCGATAGAATTTGGCAAATCGCAACGATTCAGTGTGCTGAAACGTTTCGCAAAACGTCTCGCGAGATTGACATGCGTGTCTCACTGCGACAGCGAGAACGTGGGCGAATTCCGTCCATTCGCAGGGAGCTCCACCCATCCTGGCAGATTCAGCAGCGGGAGGGAGGGATATTCCATTCCATCCATTCTTCCGTTCCGTTCATCCATTCTTCCGTTCCATTCTTCCATTCTTCCATTCAGGCTGTTGCCATGTCCCTGACACTCCCCTGTGATTCTGACAGAATTTATTCATAAGTTCTGACAATTCGTTACAGCTGCTATCGATTTCCCTCACATTCCAGGTTCTAATCTCCAGTTACCAGCGACGCTCCTTCCAGGCTCTGGTGACCAGTAAATCCTATAAAAGTTTGTTGACCTGACCATACAAATTGCTGACCCGACAACCAATAGCAGGCCCGATCATATTGATTTCTGGCCCGCGACACAGAATGGAGATAATTTCTGTGGCTCCTCATACTCGACTTATTTCCAGGAAGGTGTTATTGCCTCGCAATGTCCTCGGACCGACATGTCAGGAGCCGCAAATACCGCTGAATAGACACTCCTCCACGTTCCGCCTTGCACATCAGCTCGTCTCTGTACCGTTTCCGGTTAGTCCAACTCGCAAGCAGGCATTCGTGAGGTTGATTCAGGCGAGAGGATCACACGCTAGCAGGCTGGATTCGCACGATCCTGACCGTTCGATTGACATCCCACGTGTGTCGGATCAGCAGGAAGCGACGAATTCAGCAGACGAAGATAAAAGGCTTAAAGTGCTGTACGACATAGTTGCACGGGCCCAGAAGGGGAAGAAAATGCGAGAATTGGGACAGGAGAAAGGAAGGAGCACAGAAGAGGACAGGAGAATAACTGAAGACGGATTTGGTGTCATGGCTCCTGCCACCACTACGGCTACCTCCAGTATCAAACCCAAATCCAAACTCAAAGACAGGATCAAATCCAGTATCGAATCCAGTACCACTTTCGCTGCCACGGATGCCTTCCTTTCTGACCTTCCTACAGCAGCAGAGGCCCGTTTCATCTCCTCCCTCCCACTTGAAACGCTCGTTTCAGCCGCCGGAACAATCCGCGACCAGCGAGAGGACCCCCATATAGTCACATTCTCGCCCAAGGTCTTCATTCCAGTAACATTTCTCTGCAGGGACGCTTGCGCCTACTGCACCTTTGCCAAGCCTCCGGATCAGGTTCGGCGCGCGTACATGACCGAAGCTGAGGTGCTGGAAGTGGCTCGGGCCGGAGCTGCGGTCGGGTGTGTGGAGGCTCTGTTCACTCTGGGTGATAAACCTGAGCTGAGATATGAAGAGGCGAGGAAAGAGGTCAGTAGATTATTCAAACTTTGAGTCGCTTCAAACAGCGGTTAGGTGTATGGAGGCCCTGTTCACTCTGGGTGATAAACCTGAGCTCAGATACGAGGAGGCGAGGGAAGTGGTCAGTCGAATTCTCTAGCTGTTGAGGCGCCTCAGACCTGTGCTCGGGGTGTGTGGAGGCTCTGTTCACTCTGGGTGATATACCAGAGCTCAGATAAGAGGAGGCGAGGGAAGAGGTTAGTTCTCTCCTTATCCCTTTTTCCCGCTTCCACCTAGCCAGCAGAGTGTTACAGTGCGAAATTCTGTTCTATCTCCTCAACCCCACCACTTCCTTTCTTTCTGTTCTTCTGTTATAGCTGCAGGAGCTGGGATTCGCCTCCACCATTCACTACGTCGCCCACCTAGCCTCCAGAGTACTACAGTGCACAGGACTCCTGCCACACATCAACGCAGGAACCATGGGGGCGGCAAACCTTGTCCTTTTGCGCCACGTGGCGGCCAGTCAGGGGCTGATGCTGGAGAGCACGGCCGAGGCGCTGATGCAAGCTGGTGGGGCGCACTGGGGGTGTCCGGATAAGGAGCCGAGTGCCAGGCTGGCAACAATCGAAGCTGCTGGTGAGTTAAGTGAGGTGATGGATGCTCAATGGAAGGTGAGGTCCAGGAAGGAAGGAGGGCATTTGATTGCTGAGTGGTGAAGCCCTGTGGTGCGCACTGGGGGTGGCCGGACCAGATAAGAAGGCGAGTGTGAGACTGGCAACGATTGAGGCCGCTGGTGGGTTGATGAAGGAAAAGGGTGTTCAGCAGAGGGTGAGGTGCATGCAGGCAGGAGGGCAATAGAATGCAGAGGGGCTGATGAAACTCGGTGTGGTGCACTGAGGGTGTCCGGATAAGGAGACGAGCGTGTGACTGGCAACGATTGAAGCTGCTGGTGAGTTTACTGGGTTAGAGGGTGCTCAAAAGAGGGGGAGGTGCAGGCAGGCAGGCAGGCAGGCAGGCAGGCAGGCAGGCAGGCAGGCAGGCGGGTAGGCAGGAGGGCTTTGGAATGCAGAGGCGCTGATGAAGCCCAGTGGGGCGCACTGGGGATGTCTGGATAAGGAGCAGAGAGTGGGGCTGGCAACGATCGAGACTGCTGGTGAGTTGTTAGGGGCAATGGGTGAGAGGTATGGGACACTGCCTGAGAGCGCAAGAGAGAATTGGGAAGCACAGCCAAGGGGTTGGCGAAGCCTGGTGGGGCGCACTCGGGGTGTCTGGATAAGGAGCCGAGCGTCAGTCAGGCTGTCAACAATCGCGGTTTCTGGAGAGTTTGTCGGGGCAAAGGGTGAGAGGTTGCCTGATGATGCAAAGAGAGCACCGCACTGGGGCGCACAGGCAGAAGGACAGTGTAGCTTGACTTGAAGCCTGATGGGGCGCACTGTGTGGGGGTGTCCGGATAAGGAGCCGAGCGCCAGCCTGACAACGATCGAGGCTGCTGGCGAGGTTGATGGGAAAAGGGTCAGAGGTGCAGTGTAAGAGGTCCTAGTGAAATGTGTAGGGTGCGGTGCAGCAAAGTACAGGCAGGACAAGCGTCTCTCATCCCCTCTTCACTTCCCCTCACACTCCTGCACTTCTCTCTGACCCATACTCTCACACCAGGTGCAGCTCGCATACCCTTTACCAGCGGTCTCTTTGTGGGCATAGGCGAGTCAAGGAACGACAGACTAAGGGACCTCTTAACCCTCCGGGACCTACACTCCCGCTATGGGCACATACAGGAGATCATTATCCAGCCATTTCCCCGCTCCGTTGCTTTCACCTAACCCTACGGGACCTACACTCCCCCCGCTACGGGCACATACACGCGATCATTATCCAGCCATTTCCCCCCTCCATTGCTTTCACCTAACCCTACGGGACCTACACTCCCCCCGCTACGGGCACATACACGCGATCATTATCCAGCCATTTCCCCGCTCCATGTGCTTTCACCTAACCCTACGGGACCTACACTCCCCCCGCTACGGGCACATACACGCGATCATTATCCAGCCATTTCCCCGCTCCGTTGCTTTCACCTAACCCTACGGGACCTACACTCCCCCCGCTATGGGCACATACACGCGATCATTATCCAGCCATTTCCCCGCTCCATTGCTTTCACCTAACCCTACGGGACCTACACTCCCCCCGCTACGGGCACATACACGCGATCATTATCCAGCCATTTCCCCGCTCCATTGCTTTCACCTAACCCTACGGGACCTACACTCCCCCCGCTACGGGCACATACAGGAGATCATCATCCAGCCGTTCCGAGCCAAGGAGCAGACGAGGATGGGACGGTTGATCATCCAGCCATTTTCTCCCCTCACACCTTCTCACTCTTTGCTCACCCTCTTCTCACTCATCGCGCTCTGCAGGTGCTGCCCGTATACCCTTTACAAGCGGTCTCCTTGTGGGTATAGGCGAGACAAGGGCCGACAGATTAAGAGACCTGCTAACACTCCGAGTCCTTCACTCCCGCTACGGGCACATACAGGAGATGATCATTCAGCCGTTCCGAGCCAAGGAGCAGACGAGGATGGGGGGGTGGGGCCATGCAGAAGTGGAGAAGCTCCTGTGGAGCGTGGCGATGGCGAGAATCATGTTTGGGGCTCATATGAGCATCCAGTCTCCACCCAACCTGAGGTGAGGGGACAGCACGCACGCACACACACACACACACACACACACACACACACACACACACACACACACACACACACACACACACACACACACACGGACGAGGGGGAATGGGGCCATGCAGAAGCAGAGGAGGTGCCGTGGAGCGTGGCGATGGCAAAAATCGTGTTTGGGGCTCATATGAGCATCCAGTCGCCGCCCAACCTGAGTTGAGTGACAGAGAGAGGAAGTGAGCAGAGGAGAGTGGACTTCCGTTCGACAATTCTACAAAAGTAACTTCCATCTCACCCCTACCTCGTGGTGTGTGGCAGTGCGGGGGACTTGGCTCAGAGTGCACTCATAGCAGCGGGGATGAATGACTGGGGAGGGATCTCGCCTCACCACTAACAGCTGGTCTCTCTTTGTAATTATAAAGCCCCTTACCCCATTTTTCCTCCCCGTTTTGCGGTGTGTGGCAGTGCGGGGGACTTGGCTCAGAGTGCAATCATAGCGGGGATCAACGACTGGGGAGGGATCTCACCACTAACAGCCGGTCTCTTTGTAATTATAAAGCCCCTTACCCCATTTTTCCTCCCCGTTTTGCGGTGTGTGGCAGTGCGGGGGACTTGGCTCAGAGTGCACTCATATCAGCGGGGATCAACGACTGGGGAGGGATCTCTCCAGTCACAGTTGACTGGGTCAACCCTGAGGTGAGGCGCTGGGGTTTAGGGTTAAGAAGGGTTGACCCAGCACGCCGCAACTTAGGAGGGATTTCCCAGAGTCAGGAAGGTATGTTGAATTGACTCTGAGGAATCCCTCCTGGGTTACGGCGTGCTGAGGTACCGTACCATTCACCAGGTCAACCCCCCTTCTACTCCCTCCCTTCCTCCATCCGTCATCTTCCCGCCCCCTCTACTTCTCCCACCTTCCCATTATCCATACGCACGCTCCCGCCTTCCCCCTTTTCCGCTCGCCCAGGCCCCTTTTGAGTCGACTCAAAAGTCTTCTCCCACCTTCCCATCATCCATACGCTCCCGCCTTCCCCCTTTTCCGCTCGCCCAGGCCCCCTGGCCACACATTCAGGAGCTGGCGGCAGTCACTGCAGCTTCTGGGAAGATTCTCGTGCCTCGCCTGCCCGTCTACCCCAGCTTTCTGTCCCTGCCCAACCAAGACACGTGGCTGGTGAGAGTGGTCACACGTGGCTGGTGAGAATGGTGACACGTGGCTGGTGAGAATGGTGACACGTGGCTGGTGAGAATGGTGACACGTGGCTGCAACTGCCACCATCGCACACAACCCTGTGAATGACGGGATCCAGATCCATTTTCTAAAAGTCCCTGCACAACCTTGCGACTCCAAGTTGCAACGTGGTGACTTTTGAGTCGACTCAAAAGTCACCTCACCATCGCACACAACCCTGTGAATGGCGGGATCCAGATCCATTTTCCAAAAGTCCCTGCACAACCTTGCAACTCCAAGTTGCAACCCTGCCCACGTTGCCCGTCCTTCCTGCCGTCCCTGCCCTCCCTGCCACCAGGACCCCATGGTCCTTCCACACATCCTCCATCTCTCAGACAGCTCGGGCTATGCCAGGTGCCAGCAGTGGGCGCCTGGGACCCTGCTGCCCCTGCCACCCGGTGCACCCAACCACACCGTTCCCTCCTCCTGTCTCCGCTTCTCCCTCCCCGTCCTGCCTCCCTACCACCAGGACCCCATGGTCCTTCCCCACGTGCTCCAGCACTCAGACAGCTGGGGCTTGCACTTTTCATCTCTCCCTCTCCCGCCTTCCCCCATCACTGCCACCAGGACCCCATGGTCCTTCCCACGTGCTCCAGCACTCAGACAGTTGGGGCTTGCACTTTTCATCTCTCCCTCTCCCGCCTTCCCCCATCACTGCCACCAGGACCCCATGGTCCTTCCCCACGTGCTCCAGCACTCAGACAGCTGGGGCTTGCACTTTCATCTCTCCCTCTCCCGCCTTCCCCCATCACTGCCACCAGGACCCCATGGCCCTTCCCCACATCCTCCATCTCTCAGACGGTTCGAGCTATGCCAGGTGCCAGCAGTGGGCGCCTGGGACCCTGCTGCCCCTGCCACCCGGTGCAGATGACTTGCTAGTAGCAGCCCCTCAGTTTGTCCCTGCTTGACCTCCCTGTCCCCCACTCCTCCCTCTCTGCCTGCTTGCCAGGACCCCATGGTCCTTCCCCACATTCTACAACTCTCAGACAGCTCAGGCTATGCGAGGTGCCAGCAGTGGGCGCCTGGGACGCTGCTGCCCCTGCCACCAGGTGCAGAGGGCTTGCTGAGAGCAGCTGCAGGATTAGCAGCAAGAGGAGATTCAGACGCAGCAGAAGCAGCAGCGACAGCGGCAGCAGAAGCAGAAGCAGAAACAGCAGAAGCAGCAGAACCAAAAGATTTCAGCAGAGGGGGATGTATAGCTGTAGATGCAGATGGACTGCTGACCGGGACGGATAGACGTGCCCACGTGGAAGTTGATGACGTGGAAAGTACACAAAGTGACAAGGCTATGCGAATGCATGACGTGGCACGAGCAAGCGATGATGTGGCACGCGTTCTTGAACGAGCTCTTGAGGGACGCTTGTTGTCTGAGGTGAGTCTATGTGCATTGCCCCTTTTCTCCTGCACCTCATACGAGTCACTTTTGAGAATTCTTAAAAGCGACTTCAATATATCTGGAGGGACGCACGTTGTCTGAGGTGAGTCTATGTGCATCGTTAGTCTCTCCTGTGCCTCATGCGACGTGAATTTTGAGTTGATTCGATAGGCACCCCATGCACCTCATGCACCCCATGCACCCCATGCACCCCATGCACCCCATGCACCTCATGTTGTGGTCGTTCACTTTCTGCACAGCAACTGATATCCTGTTTGTGTGCAACTTTAGAGGTGCCTCAGAAGTTACAATGTGATTGACTGGTATGCTGGTGATGTGTCATGATGCCCCATTCCACATCAGGCGGAGATAGTTCGGCTCTTCTCTGCACGCGGGACTGACTTCCATGCGGTGTGCCGCGCTGCAGATGGGCTGAGAGCGGTGGTGAGCGGTGACGAGGTGTCGTACGTGGTGAATCGCAACATCAACTACACCAACGTGTGCACCTATGCCTGCCAGTTCTGCGCTTTCAGGTACGTACAGCAAGCTGCCACATCAGGCATGTACGGCAAGCTGCCACGTCGGGCATGCGTATGATAGTAGCAGTCGCACAGGACACCTCAAACACTTGGACCACATGGGGATTCTCTGATTTTGATTCTCCTAAAAAATGCGACACGTGCATGGGATAGTAGTAGTAGCAGTCACGCAAGGCGTCTCAAACACTTGGACCACATGGGCTTCCCCTGCATCGCCCGTTCGTTGCATGCCTCTCTACATTGCATCGACCCCGTTGCCTGTATGTCGCTTGTGATTGTAACGAGGTGAATTCTGATTCGACTTAGAAGTCACCTCAGTCAGTGCAATGCACCACTCCACAATGCATCGACCCCATTGCCTGCCCTCTGCGTGCTTCTATGCTAAGTGGCATCTTGGCTTTTGTTTCGTCTCCCTCCCTCTGCCTCCCTCGCTTGCCTCTACCTTTCATGCAGCAAGGGGAAATCAGCCGAGAGCCTAAGGGGCAAGCCATACCTGTGAGACCGCCCCCTTGCTATTCTGCCTTTCCTTGCTGTCATGCCACGTCATGTTGCCATGCTGTCATGCCACGTCATGTTGCCATGCTGTCATGCCACGCCATGTTGCCTTGCTGTCATTCCACATCTTCGCGCCATGTTGTCATGCCACATAACGATGCCGTGCCACATCATGTTGCAATGCTGCCTTACCGTGCGCTCATGCGACGTCATGTCATACCATGTGCTGCCTTGCCACGTGGCAGCATGTCTCTAGAGGAGATCAGCAGTCGAGCCAAGGAGGCATGGGAGAGAGGCGCAACCGAGGTCTGCATGCAGGTGTGGGCATTGGGAGCATGCTTGGATAAAGGATTCTTGGTGCTCATGTTATCCTAACAATCCTCATCTAGTTGTAGGGACGAGTCAAAACATGAGTTGACTCGAGAATTGTTGTGGCACTGCCTCTCCTCCCTCTCTGCCCCCTCTGTCCCCCTATCTTGCCCCTATCCCCACACCTCAGGGAGGCATACACCCGGACTTCACAGGAGAGACTTAACTCTCCAACTTAGCTTAACGTCCCTGCCTCTCCCCCCCTACCCCTTTGAATCTGGATCCCCATGCTCCAGGGAGGCATACACCCGGACTTCACAGGGGAGACCTGCCTCTCCACCTCCCCATCGTCAAGCCTCGAAGGCCCTGCCTCTCCTCCCTCGTGCTCCCCTGTCTCTCTATCCCTGTGTGCCCCAATTCTTACCCCCCAGGGAGGCATACACCCGGACTTCACAGGGGAGACCTACCTCTCCATCCTCTCGGCTGTCAAGCCTTGATGACTCTGCCTCTCTACCCTCATTGCCCCCTGCCCTTCCCCACCCGCTGCCCTAATCCTACACCTCCGCAGGGAGGCATACACCCGGACTTCACAGGGGAGACCTACCTCTCCATCCTCTCGGCTCTCAAGCCTTGATGACTCTGCCTCTCTACCCTCATTGCCCCCTGCCCTTCCCCACCCGCTGCCCTAATCCTACACCTCCGCAGGGAGGCATACACCCGGACTTCACAGGGGAGACCTACCTCTCCATCCTCTCGGCTGTCAAGGCAGCATGTCCCGACATGCACGTGCATGCCTTCTCGCCTCTGGAGGTCTGGCATGGTGCCACATCCCTCAACTGCAGGTATGCGTGTGGATGGATGTATGTATGCTGTTCACAAAAAAGAAAAAGAAAAGAAAAGAAAAAACCCATGTTCCCTTCACTGTGCTGTGGACATGCATGCATATGCTTCATGTGCTTCGACTTCTTCAAGATCTCAAAGACCATGAGTGCTTGTGGAAAAAAAAAAAAAAAAAAAAAAAAAAAAAAACTGCGCAGCGCTCATATCTTCTATGACGAAAGCATCAGGCCAGTCGATTTTTTGTTCCCTCCTTCGCCCCTCTGTCATCTTCCCCCCATGCGCATGCCTCACTGTCCCTTTCTTTTTTCCCCTTTTTTTTTCTGAGTTGACTTGAAATTCTCTCCCTTCTTCTCTTTTAAAACCTGCTCCCTCCTATCCTTTGCGCCTCTGTCGCCTTTCCCCAATGCACACGCCGCAGCGTGCCGCAATTTCTCAAGCTCCTGAAGGATGCGGGTCTGGGTTCCCTGCCTGGAACGGCTGCTGAGGTGAGCAGTACTTGGTTCGTGACACAGTGCACCGCACTGTACCTCAGTGCACCGCACTGTACCTCAATGCACCGCACTGTACCTCAGTGCACCGCACTGTACCTCAGTGCTGAGGTGAGCAGAATACCAGAGTCCACACACTTCTTCCATCGCTCTAGCAATGCGGGCCTAGGATTCCTGCCCGGTGACTTTGAGTCGACTCAAAGGTCACCCCATCGCCCTAGCAATGCGGGCCTAGGATTCCTGCCTGGTACAGTTGCCGAGGTGAGAAGAGAAGAATACCACGCCAGGCGTGAAGACCTCTCGTATCACGTCTGGGTTTTATTTCCGCAATCTAGTTGATTCATTTGTTTTTTAGTCGACTCAAAAACAGGTTCCAGTCTCGTACCACGACTGGGGTTTATTTCCGCAATATTGTTGACGCACTTTCTTCCCTTCTTCCTTCTTTTGGCCTGGCCATCACCCCTCTCCAGTCACCCTGTCCAACCCCTCTCCACTCCTTTAAACCCAACCCCTCTCCTCTCACCCCCTCCAACCCCTCTCCACCCTTCGAACCCACCCCTCTCCACCGCTGTAGATCTTGGACGACTCAGTGCGAGCAGTGCTGTGCCCAGATAAGATCTCAACCGTCCAATGGAGGGAGGTGATCGAGGCCGCTCATGCTGTGGGCCTCCCCACCACCTCCACCATCATGTTCGGCCACGTGGACCATCCCATCCACTGGTAAAGCACCTGGTAACCATGTGGTAACCACACGTTCCCTGGTACGAACGTGTTCTCACCTGGTAACGTTACTTCAAAATCCTGGGGTGTTCATGCTGTCGGCCTTCCCACCACCTCCACCATCATGTTCGGCCACGGGGACCATCCCATCCACTGGTAACCACCTATTAGCAACCTGGTAACCACCTCTCACCTAGTAACCACCTCTCACCTGGTAACCGCACTTAGCGATTGATGATGCTGTCGGCCTCCCCACCACCTCCACCATCATGTTCGGCCACGTGGACCATCCCATTCACTCGTAACCACCTGGTAACCACATGGTAGCTGGTGTCAACCTGCCCTCACTTGGTAACCTTACTCGGACTCTGGGAGTTGAGAATGTTGCTAGGCGTCCCACCACCACCACCACCATGTTCGGCCGCGTGGACCATCCCATTCACTCGTAACCACCTCATAAAGCTCTTGGAAACATTCCCTTGACTTCCACCCAGTTCTCCACTCCTTCCGCCCTTTGCCCCCTTTCCATCCCTCCACCTCCCCAATCCTCACCACCCCCCCCCCCCTCAGCTCCCTGTGCGACTCAGGGCACGGCACCTGCTGCTGCTGCAGCCCATTCAGGAGACTATTTCTTAGTCAACTAAAACGCCAACCCTCCACCCACCCTTCCCATGCCTCTCAGGGCTCGTCACCTGCTGCTGCTGCGGTCCATTCAGGAGCGGACAGGTGGCATCACGGAATTCGTCCCCCTGCCATTCGTGCACATGCAGGTAGGGACGTGCACACATGCATGTTCACATGCATGGATGAATGCATGCATGTACATGTACACATGCATGGATGGATGCATGCATTTACACATGCATGGATGGATGCATGCATTTACACATGCATGGATGGATGTATGTAAAATGTGCATGGATATCTACGTATACTTTCGTACATGTGTATGTATGTACGTAAGGTTGGATCTGATCAGGTGCAGTAGCAGAGTCACATCATCCCTCTGCCTTTTCCCTCCTTGGCAACATACCCTCCCCCACCTCCTCACCCTCTCCTCCCTTCATTATCCCCTCCTTTCCCCCGCTCCCCCTCCCTGTATCACCCCTCCTCCCCAGGCGTCTGTGTATTCATGGGTAGCAGCAGCCCCTTCTGAAGCAACTCAAAACTCTTCTCTCCCCAACCCCTTTTTCACCCGCACAACTGTGAAGCAACTGTGAAGCGAAAGGCCATCCCAGTTCCTTCGCTCCTCCTCCTTACACTCTTTCCCCCAGGCGCCAGTGTATCTCAAAGGAAGGAGCAGGCGAGGCCCCACGTTCAGAGAGTGTGTGCTGATGCACGCTGTGGGTCGACTGGTGCTGCATCCACTCATTACGAACATCCAGGTGAGGGATGTACGTGCACATGTACATGCACACATGCGTATGCACGTCCATATGCACATGCGGACATGCACGTGCACGCATTTATATGCACATCCAGACATGCACATGCACACATGCACATGCACACGCACATGCACGTGCACACATATGCACATACACATTGATTCAAACTATGGATGGATTAATGTGCGGTGTGCATGTGCCTCCTTCCACCCTTTCCTCCACCCAATAGGCCTCATGGGTAAAGATGGGATTGGAGGGCGTTTCTTGTCTGCTAGCGGCTGGTTGCAATGACGTGGGTGGCACACTGATGAATGAGAGCATCACACGGGCGGCTGGAGCAGTACATGGTGCGTGAAGCTGTGGTTTGTTGCGGTGTGTAATTATTTTCCTCTTGCACTCCCTTTCTGCCGCTTATCCCCCCCCCTCCTCCCTTCTCCGCCACCACACCGCTCTTTTGTTGCCCAGCCTGTCCTCTGCACCATTTACCAACCTACCACTCCATTTTCGTTCGTCCTTATTTTTGAAATATGCAGGTCAGGAAGTAACAGCTCAGCGCATGGAAGCAGTCATATATGCAGCTTGCCGTCAACCCCATCAGCGAACCACGTTATACGAGTATCATAGAGCACATTGAACCAGTGATTATCGTGTCTGAGATTACGGCTCTATTTCTGTACATACCGTATGATATCCAGTCTTCTAAGTACCCTCACTGCACAAATCGTCAACCTAAGCTCACGACAGGATTAAAATGGCATGTAAACTCGTCAATATACATTGTTATGCTTCTAAATTAACTTGCAGAGCGCGCAGAATAATGAATAACGAGAATAAGAAATACAGAATGCTGATACGATACAAAGAAAGTAGCGAGGCCTAAATAGGGGAAAACCTAGCTATGCGGGGAGGTCGGCAAAGGATGGCTTGCGATTGGTGCGGAGGCGACTTGGTGAGGTTTGGATGAGGAAATGTAGGCCGAGCCAGTGGGTCGCGTGGCCCTCTGGATGACCTCGCTAAGGTTAGGTAAATCCTTACAATAATGTAGTCTCAGATAATTGTATCGGATTACCTCGTGCTTGGTATGCCTTGAAGTTCCGCCTCTGCCCTGCTTTCCCCGAAATACTTCCCGCTGTCGTCCCCGTAGTCTGCATTTCCGATAATATCAGTTGGGTCAGCTCCCGCCAGTACATTAACTACATAGTCGTTTCGAAATTGCCGGTCACAATGAGGGCGCGAAGAGTCTCCTGGCGCTTTGGTCCGCACATAGCCGACGTGTTGAAATAGCGACGGCACGTGCACGTATCCCGTCCGGTTGGCGCTAGTAGTTAGCTATTTGTTTAGCAGCCAATCCATAGGAGCCTTGTAACGCCTGTGGGGCTTACACGTAAGGGTATGAGAGCATCCGCTGCGCCTCAAATACAACCCTCGTTTTGACCCAATGGGTAGCGAGGTGTTACATTTGGTATTAGAGCCTGGGGTTCAATTCCCGGCTGGGTCACATGTGATTGTGCCAGTCGTGAACCCACTGAACGATCCGCCGCTGGCCTGGCCCACCAGCGAAGTCGCTGTAGAGCGAGATTCAGGTCCTTGCGAGGGCCGACTCCCTGCCCAACGAGGACGTTGGCTCCAGGGGGGGACGAGTGTAACGCCTGTGGGGCTTACACGTAAGGGTATGAGAGCATCCGCTGCGCCTCAAATACAACCCTCGTTTTGACCCAGTGGGTAGCGAGGTGTTACAGCCTCGACGAATCGTGTTATGAGTTGTACTAAGAAGAGTGCGCGGAAGACTTTATAAAAAGGATGAGAATTACAGAATGACGAGAATGATAAAGAAGCAAGCATTTATAGGGTCGAAACCGTGGTAGGCGAGGACCTCGGGACGTGGATGGTTTGGAAGTGTCGCGATTGGTGCGGGGCGACTCGGAAGTGGTTCGGGCCGAAGTGTAGGCCGAATCCAAACTGACGCGAACAGTTCGGGCTGTCCTCGCTAGGAGTAGCCTCTACAGTAATGAATTCACATTCATTACACTCTCCCACCTTCTAAATAAGGTGCCCTTATACGTAGGCGAGTCTTGCAGTAGCGTGAAAACTGCAGATCTCGGTTGAAACTGATCTGACGGTGCGGAAGCATGTTGACTTTCGAGTTGACGCGTGGCTGAGCGCGTTGACCAGGCGAATTTCAAAGAGTTGGGATGTTAGCCGTTGATACTGCCGATGTCAATCGGGCGGTTGAAAGCGAATGTCGATCTCAAATTGTTCGACGAAGGAAGACCGTCGATGTCGCGGATGTGTATCGGATGGTTCTGGTGAATGTCATGTCGGCGGGAATTCTGACGCGTTGTCAGAGATCGATGAATCTGGTGCCGTCGATGCCGATGAAGCCATCGCGTGCGTCCGTCGTGCTGGGTGTGTCAGACGAACTGTCAGAAATAACTGTCGAAATGTCAGAGGCCTGCCAACAACAGTGCGTGAGCACTCTTTCTCCCCCCCCCCCTTTTGGAAGAGAACTGCTGCCCACCAAAATGTGCACAGCTGCGCGGGCACAAAACCACAACCCCCCTGACGCCGAGGGTAGAACAGAATACCAAGTGTTATGACCTCCCGCCTGAAATTCAGCCGCTGTGTAGTCGAAATTGCTGTCGGTGGCGAAATCGTCACTGTCGAAAACCCCGAAAAATGCCCAGGGTAAACTCTGTCAAAGTCCCTTCGAAAGAATATCATTTTTGCAGGGGCTCGGCATTAAGAAAATCTTCTTGTTGTCTTGTTGTCGCGACTGTTGCTGCAGCGTCTCTCGTGACTGCCACCTCGTAATCCCCCGCGTGGCAGTATCGAATCACTTTATTGCTTCCCAATCTCCAGTTGGCAGCTGCTACAATCCCGAATTGCTGCTGCCGTTTGGCTGGTTGCTGTGGCGAAAATCTTCGCTGTAGTGTTCCAGCTGTCGGCGCCCTCGGCAGTTTTGTCCAGACTCGCCGAGGCCTTTGTCGCGTTGCTCCGAAAACTCCCGGGCAGGGACGAAAACAGCTGCTGCTCTTCCCCCTGACCTCGCAAATATTTTTCAAAGTTGAAAACTCGAACTGTCGATGACGTCAGCTACCTCGGCTGTTGTCGTGACTCGCCGAAGACTTCGGGGCAGAGGCGAAAAAGCTGTCCTTCCTCCCCCCACCTGTTGTGATACATTTCACCAGTGTTGCGGCTGGTACCCCTGAAACTCTGCAGATTTTGCCACCATGAAGTTCACCACGGCAGTTTTCGCGCGCTTAACCCAGCGCCGCTGCAACTCCGCCGTTGTCGCGAAATTGTCGGCCGTCACCGCCGAACTCTTGTAAAGCCGATACTCGGTACTCTCCGTAAATGTCGGTGCCGAAAATCCTTGTGCGTCTTGGTCACCTGCAGGTTATCCCCTTGAAGAACCGGTGTATCTAGCGTGCCCACCCGTCGCCATTTTTCTCTCCGTGGTTAACCACACTAGCAACCCACCAACAGGAGGTGCTCTTTCGTGCGGAACCCAGAGTCATGGGTCTACCGGGACCGAATTTCACGGAACCTAGCCCGCATCGACGCCGCAGATCTCGCTGTAGAATTTCCCCAGATGGCTTCGAAGTACACCGTAAACCGCTGAAACAGCTGGCGAGCAGACGTTCACCCGTCTCCCACCGTTGTAATAAAACCCCGAAAATCATGGTTGTTGAAGCAGTCCCGAAGTATTTTCCGCCGCATAACCCCGACGTTTCCGCCGTTGACCCTGGTACTCCGACGTTCACCCGTCTTCGTACCCGCCGAAATTGCTTAGCGAATCCCAGGTATCCTTGGCGATACACCGCTCGCCGCGCCTCCATGTAACAATATCAAACCCTTTCGGGGGTCTACCGAATAGACTCCGAAATTCGCGGTGGATTGGTGTACGGGCTCAACCTTTCACTCTGGAGATCTGCTGGAGCACCCACAAATTTCCCTCCATTTGTTTTGTGTCTTCACCCCCCGACAATTTCGCTTGCCGCCGTTCACCCGGCGTTCGCTTTTGTCGGATGAGGTATAACTCCTTGTTGCCCGCGATTTTTCTGACATTCGGTGAAGGCGCGAACGCTATCATAGCCGGGTCATGTTTATCGGATCAAACAGTCGGACCGGCCGCTTCGTTGCCCACCGCGTCTATCGCGTTTAAAACTCCACAGCTTCGGAAAGCCCCTTCTTCGCCGCTACACCATGTCGGGTAGACCGTTGAATTAGGAGAAACTCCGACAGCTGCACCAACTGCTTCAGCTCCGACTTTTTCGGCGGGGTAACTGCTGCCGATGGTCCGGTTTTGTCGGGGCCGAAACAGTGTCGCTCCCAGAAATTTTCTTGTACGCCCAGCTGTCGAACTAGCGCAATACCCGCGCTTTTTAGCCAGCACAGGGCTAAACACAGGGCCCCACCTTTGGATCCAGTGGCCAATAGGACTTACTCCTTGCCTTCGAGGCCTTCTGGGCGTGAGGTATGTGAAACGTCGGTAGACTTTGGCCGGTAGGGAGCTCCTTCTGCTACCGCCGCTTAGCCGCAAAACTCGGCCCTCAGCAAAAAGTCGTCGTAGTAGGTCGTTTTCGCCCCTCCTGAAGCTCGGAATCCGTTTCTCTTGCCAGACCCGTATTTGTCGCAACTCCGTTTATTGTGACCGGTAGACCAGGCGAAATTCGCGGGTCTAGACGCTGCGATAAACCGTTGTCCCGTCGATGTACTGCCCTGTCTGCGGCGCAACTTCCCTTGATCAGGGGGAACCTGTGCCGCATGAAGTACAGTGTCGGCTGCTGCTGTTGCTCCGAAAATTTCGGTCGACCTTGTTGCAGGCGCAG